GCTGCCGAAAACACGGGAAGCTCCAAGGACCTTGGTGCCTCCGTGCCAGCTATAAACAGTGCGCTATCGGCGTTTTTCTCATAACAAATTCCAGCCTAAATCCCAAACACAGAGCTGTTCTGGCTGCTGAAAAGGAAAAACAACCCTGCACCAGTCAAAACCAGGGCACGGCGTTAAGAGTCGGTCTCTTTTTCTAGTTATTAACACAGACGCGGTTCCCACTCTTAACTGGTTGCCGGATTGTCTGCGGGAGCTGGCAGAGGGTCTGCAGCAGGAGAGAGCTCGGCAGGCGACAGGTAAAGGGGTTATCTTCCTTAAAGCACTGCTGCCTAACAGGCAAATGGATGTTCAAGACCAGAAGCTTGACAGAATTCAGGATGTAAGGGCTGGAAAGTGAGTCTCAGCAATGGAATGCGAATATGGAAAAGATGGAGCAGTATATTTGGTTTTTTTTCAATGTGGTAACTGGGTAAAGTTGTTGTAGTAGCAGACAAGGAGCTGGTGGAGGGATATACGGAAGGGAACTTCAGGTCAGCTTGATAGGGCAACTAGACAGATTTCTTGGCTGTGCTCCTTTTCTTTCAGGTCATAAAAAAAAAATGGTGTAAAAATCTGGGGTGCTGGTGTAGTAGCTGTGGAAGGAGTAGGGACTAGGGGCAGTACACCCCTGCTTGGGAATCGCTCTGACTTGGGCGTGGGATATTTGTGGCGTGGGGTTAAACGGTACGGCTGAAATGGGCTGGAATAGAAAAGTTTCAGGTTCAGCTGTTGTTTCTGATTTCTGGTGCCCGGCCTGTTGTTAGAACCACCAAACCCAGCAGCTGTGTAGCAGACTCCACTCCTTGTGATGCACCAGCAAATACTGGAGCTGCGCCTTAGCCTTCTGTTTTTGTTGAAAAGTTCTGTCACCCTTTACCATGAAGATGGCTTGCAAATGGAGGACACTGCCCGTAGCGTCATTTAACCTCTTATTTTTGCACAACATAAATTTAAGCTTCTGTGCTAGTGCTACAGGAGGACTTAGGGGACTGCTATGGGATGGGGGGACAGCGTTTCCAATGCGGATTTAGGGAAACGCGGTATGGCATTGCAAGTCGAGTGTTCCAGTGTCCTTCAGGAGGGAGCAGATGTTGTTTTCTTTCCCGTGTGTGGAGAGGAGGAGCGGGGAGCCTGGCAGTGCTGACTGCTGGGGAGGATCTGCCTTAAATGCCCCCCCTACCCCCCCATAATGCTTGTTATGGCTGTCACGCTGTTACCCAGTGCCAAACGCACCTTTTAAAGTCCTCCAGAGCATACTGGGGTGTAGTGGCGTTGCAACTGGCTTTTGCTGTAAGGCAGTTAGTTATTTAGCTACCTAGACACCGACATGTGCTGTATTCCAGGTGTAATTACTTCTAAACAAGGTAATTAGCTTGTGTAATTAGCTGGGTGAGCGGTGGCCTGGTGGCTGGGTGAGGGACATGGTGTTGTCGAGGAGTGCAGGACACTGATCTGCTTAACTGGGAGCTTTGGCAGAGGGACCATAGTGCAGGTGTGCTGTGTGACGTGCTTGCACCTTCACGAATTAGAAGGGAATAAAATCACAGCCACTTAACCCTTCTGTTGCTGGGAGCTCTCTGAAACTTGCTGTGTTACTGGCACAATTACCCTTTTGAATTTTTAAAATACCTTTGAGTTTTTAATTTGTCCATGCTGAGTGACTCATGATAAATACATGTATACACACACACGTATTTTACTACCACAGTTGTCTGGAACATTTAAGGAAAAGTATCTGCTCTGTGCAGGAAAGCATTTACTGGCTTCCTGCTGCTTTTTTTTTTTTTTTTTTCTGGAAAACTTTTTTCCTTTCTCTTTGGTTAACTCTGTGATGTTGGGTCTTCTCTTTCTTTTTTCGTGGGTGTTCCTAGTCTCCCTGTTTCTGATAGCTATCTACTAATTAATTTCTACTGTTGTTCACATGTAGACTATTTCCTCTGCGCTGCTGCCACTGCAGGATGAAACTGAATTTCGGGATTTCTACCTTTTGCTTCCCCGGCACAATCCCAGAGTAGTTGTCTAGAACAAATTAACACAAGGTGCCTGTAGCAGACATCAATGTTAGCATTCCAAATACTGTTTTGAAATGGATGAATAATAAATTTTTAAAAATCAAGTGCCCTTTTTTTTCCTGGAGATGCCTGGGAGGGGGCTGGATTGGAGGAGCTGAAAGCAAAAACTCCTGTCCCAGCACTGCTGGCCTGGCTTTCCAGAGCCGATGTCACTCTTCAGTTTCCCAGTTGCCTGGGGAACAGAGTGGTGTGTTTCTGTGGAAATGGGAATTTCAGTCCCTCTGGCCAGCGGCTGCAGGGATTCTGAAGTGGCCCTGAAGCCAGCGTGGCTGGCTGCTGGCAGCAGGAGCCTGGGTTTGCTGTGGGAGGCACTGCCTTGGGTTGGGGGGTGTTACTTTTGTGGAGTTTGAGGTGATTCCGAATAGTGCCGAGAAGAATTTTGTGAAGTCGTTCTTTCGTTTTTATGGTAGCAAGGAGCTACTCTGCACTTAAAGCAGTTTTTGAAGATTAGTTTTATCTTGCCCTCTACGTAGCTCAAATAAGCTGGACGTGTATCCCTCATAAATGAAATTTCCCTTCTGTCATAGTTCCTTTGAAGAGAACTACAGCCCTAGATTCAGCAAAACCCAGCGATTTTAAACAGACTTTTTGGAACTATGTTCATTCTATATATATGAGAAAATAATGAATGAGGGTACCTACGAAGGATTCTTTCTTTTCTAACCATGGGCAAAAATTTAACTGTTTTTCTTTCTTAAGTGGAAGTGACATTCCCAAGATTCATAATAACTTTAAATGTATATAAAAATAAAACTTTTAAATGTATTTCCTATGAGACTTAATTCTCAAAAAATAATTTATCTAGACCATGGAGTAGATTTGTCGTTCAGTTTCCCTTCGTTACTGACACATTTCTTTAGTTTCAGTGTCTGGAACATCACTTAAAAATGTGAAGTTATTAACACAGAGACCGAAAGTGATTGGAAAAGCTGGAAAGTAAAAAAGAGTAAATAAAAAGAGCAATACCTCATGGTCTTTAGGAAGAGCAGAGCAGCACAGAGGGAGATTTAGTGTCAGTGTTGTGGCTTTTGCTGAATGTCTGTAATGCTTGACATTGATTCTCTTTAACTAGGAGGATACACTAAGTAGTTATAAATCCTAACTCACTCTATCATTCTTCTTTTAAGGGGTGGTTCTTAAGAATTACATCTCTCTTTGGTAGGTTTTCTTCTGCCCATTGCCAAGGTCTCTTTGTTTAGAAAGTGGAGTTCAAATAAGCAAACCAAAATTTTGTATTAATTAGCTGAAAAGATGACCTGAAGTGTGTTGGATAGATTTTTTTTTTTTCTAAGCTGAATTAATCAAAACGTGTGTTCAATATAAATTTGACTTACTCAGCAGCCTACAAGTACCTCCTTGAGTTGAACTGGATGTTTTGTGTGACAATGGCCATTAGATTTTTGAGGGGTTTAATTCTTATTATTATTCAGTCTGGTTTTACAAGGGGAAAGATTCCGATCAGCCTTGCAGAGTGGACACTTTCACTCTGGGTGTACCAGCCTCTCACGATTATTTCTGTTTCTCTGCTCAGAGCTGATTTAACTCTAAAGGAACCAGGTCTGAGTATTCAGCTTCTGCGTTCCCTGAGGTGAGCTCTGTGCCTTTTGCAGGAACAGTACTGCTTATTTTGTTTGTTGTCAATTGTTTATTAGTTAGTGACAGATTTCGTCCTTAGTAGTTTTAATGGTTCCAAATGCAACTTCAGGTTCTATTTTCAAAGGAGGGGATATTTAACAATTCAATTCCTTTTAAGTAAATTCACTTAAAATAAGTCAAACTTTGGTAATCTCGATGTCAGTGAGACACATAACAAAAATATATTATTGCATTAGATTAGGAGGGCACATCAGAATGAAGAAGCCTCCTTAACTCAGTAGCTGTGAGACGTGCTTGTCTTCCTGACTGAATCAGACAAAGG